TAACCACTGTTGAAAACTCATCTAAATATCCGATTCTATCATATTATTTGATTCAACTTTCAGAATCAGGTAAAACCTGCCAATAATTAATCATAAAATTGAATAAATCTTGAACAATAAATCTGAAAATTTCAGTAAATAGTAACCGTATGATGATTGTCATTCTGGACGGAAGACATGGAGTTGAAAAAGATGTTGAGCAGTTTTTGCACTGATGCATAATCTTGATTTTGGAAACGATGAACATCCGAATATTGAGCTATCTCTCCTAATAACTAGAAAATCAGGAATTAAGAAACTGAGATTAAGAGTGCAGCAAATAAGAAATGCGGCTAAATCAACTTACTTTAGTAACTTCTTGCCCAAAGTTTATTGAATCTTTTATTGCATCATTGGATGTGGGTTGTGCTCCTTGAAACTTGGCTACTAGTCTGAAAAATGCGGCCTAATGCCAATGTTGCTTAAACGAAATAAGCTGTTCATTGTTAATTTTGTCGTAATTGAACGTAAACTGGTGAAGGTAAGCTTACTGTTGCTGTGGTTGTGGACTTCGATGGAACTGAAATGTTTGCTGCTGCCGTTGACCCAAATATAGCTGGTTTTGTAGAATTCCAACTGTATGTGACACTGAAATATAAAAGAATAAGTAAGGCATTCCGTTGTTTGAAACTTAGATTGTTGGGAAAGAGAATAAAAATCATGGCTAAAGTTTAATGATTATAATTGAACCATTTTTATCTTAACTCAGGAAATTTAAAATCATCAGTTATGTCCAGCACTTCAGTGAAAATGCGCATCCATTATTTCGTTTCCATGTTCTCAAAATAAGTCTATGGAAATCCATTTTATATTAACGAACCATTGTTTGTTGGGAAATGATTTAGTGGAGGTAGTGATGCTCGTGCAGTTCCATGAAATTCTTTAGCAATAACATTGTAGTTTTCACGACCGTTCATCGACAGCGAAGTTCTTTCTTTCATCGCTGCAAATTTTGGCGGTATACTTGCTATTCGTGGAATCGATTCTTGTGGTTTAGGAATTAGTGCTTGGATTGACTGAAAATTGGGAAAAAAATATTAGGAATAGCCAATTAAAAAATTTTAGGAATAACCAGTTTATTAAAAATAGTAATGTTGCGATCTGTGCTCCATAAGAAAAAACAACCTGAAAATGATAATTTAAAGGGACATTGTAACCACTTGTAAACAGTTCATAAGCAGTATTATTGTTTTTGGCTAATTTTGTTTAATTTTCTTGTAATTTTCTTGAAGATAACCTTTTTCATCAGGATTTGCCAAAATTAAGAAATTCATCAAATATGTAAGCGCCAACAAAACTTAAAAAAGAATTTTTGCCAGAACTTAAAAAACTTATGTCATGAAAATTTCTCTTCGCTTGAATGCTTCACTGAATTTCAAAACAAGAAGGTTATTTGGTACCAATAATAAAGCTGGTTTTGTACAAAAACTGTATGAAATCATAGAAGTAGTTCCAAGATGAAGTGACAAATTTAATCTCTAGAGGTAAAATAAATGGTGCATTGTTGTTGTAAAAGATATATAGTTTCGAATAGTGAAACATCTAACTGATTAACAAAGCTTTCTTTGATTGAATTTATAAGCGTAACAATTAGTTTTATTTCTTTATCCACCCGGCTTATTCAAACTATTCTTAACCGGAAATAAGGCACACTACATTTATAGCCGCATTAACACTGTTATCTTTGAAATGCAATATTATTAGGCAGAGCGGAGTAAAGATTTCTTTTTTAATGATTTTATCGGCGACGCATTCATATTAGTATGTAATAAAAGATTCGAAAGTTAAGAACAGGTAAGGCAAATATGAGCAGTTTTCAATTTCAGACAATACAATGTTAAACTGTTTTGATTTAAATCTCTTTACCATACATTTAATTGGTTACTTTTTTATTTTTATTTTTTACTGTCTATCCAAATTGAAGTCAGCAGATATGATATTACAACTGATTTTTACAGATAATTGACATTGCATAATATATGACAAAAGCAATTTTTATTTTTTCAATTTTTTTTGTAAAATAGTTTGATTCCACTATCGATATTATCATAACATTGAAAAAATTAGATGGAAAAAGAAAAGTAGTTGTACTTCGAGCTATAAGCACATTTAAGCAAAGCAAGAAATAGAGCTTTTAACCGAAGAAGATATGCATAGTAATGAGCAGAAACCGGTTTAAATCTCTTGATTACTCCGGATTAGTTTGATAACTCTACAAAGACGTGAATTCTGAATTATAGATCAAGCAAACAGTCGGATCCCTTATTTCTTTCAAGTATCATCATCACCGGAATATGGATAGTTATTTGCAGAGGAAATTATACAAATTTATTGTTAAGAGAATAGAATAGTCACTAAATGATTAACTAATAACATATCAAATTAAACTGCTCTTAAGTCAATTACTATAAAGTCAGACTTATATGATCAATTATTGTTTAAATAAATCTCTATTAGATAAAAGTATAACATACCTGTGATTTTGAGTGACTATTTTTGACTTGAAGTAGCCTTTGGCCGATATTGGTACCAAGTTTGACAAATTCCTAAAATAGTAAAAAAGATGGCTGTTACACCTTGTTTTCTTATAATTGAAGACTATAATAAGGCGATAAGTCTATCAGAGTGTAATTTATGGAGTTTTTTAAAGTTTTCGAAAAGAAATTATTCAAAATTTACGTCAGGATTTTACGAAGAAAAAAAGTAATGGCGTGAGACAATTGACACATCGTTTTGAGAACTTGAAGCTAGAATTTGAACAGGCTTTCAGAAAATACCTGTACTAAGTCTTCGCCATTATCAGTTCCCACTTTCTTAGGAACAACGACCCTTCCAAAAAATGGTGAAATCAGCGAAAAAAAGTCTTGACACTGCAAAAATTAAGAGCAGAATTGTAATCAATAATTACAAACCGTAATACTAATGATCAGTATTCATATATTCTAATGAAGAAAACTTGCATAAAAAATTTTAAAAACAAATATTCTCAAGACTGCGTAATGTTATGTGCTAAAGAATATAAATCATCTTCAGGTTATTGCTGAATGAATAAATACTCCGTTAGCTATTAATTAATTAATTATAGTGCCAAAAGCGCTTTACATCGCTGTCGTTTAAAATAGAACCAGTTTAGAAATGATCATTTCATGAGATCCATTTTGATCAGTATGATCTCAAAAATATCTCTTCTAATTTCTGCTAGCTTTTTTCATAAAGAGTATGCGCAATGCATTCGTCAGAGAAAATGTAAGAGAGTACTTAATGAGGAAAAAACTAGCTATTATTGCTGAAATAGCAAATTTTTAAGAAGTTCGTTAAGTTTAAAAAGTACAGTGACAATTTTTTGTCCCAAATCAAGTGTTAATATGAGATGTACACTGCGTTTTCTGCAAGCTTTTGAAATAAAGTTCTTCAGGCTGGAATAAGTTACCTATTCATACATATTTCACTTTGAAGTTAATGTGTTGTAAGAGCGTGAATCATATTAAAACAGATGAGAACTATATGATGCTAAATTGGCTTTATTTTACACCTAATTAAAAAAGCTAATCAAAACTTTACTTTAACGATTTGGCAAAACAGTGATATGGTAACAACAACATAAACTTCTTTCATTAGTAGCAGTTGCCAGTGTTTTCTATAGACCAATTCACGTTGTTTCAGAAAACCTGAAAGTGCAGGAGAAAATGAATAACCGTTTCGAAAAATGTCTACAATTGCTTGAGGAGTTTAATAAATAATGCTTATCAGATCATCTTAGGTAGTTAGTGACAGGTTTCAAGTTGAATTCGCATTCTATAAAATGCTATAAGAGCTCTAAATGCTCGGAAGATAAAAAAAGAAAATATTTTAGAATGATAGATAACAAGAAAAGAAATTTTTAAATTGTTCAATTTGTAAGATACCTGCATTAGCAATAATACCGATACATATAAAAAGAATCTACAGCAGAAAGGGATACAATCAGTTTTTGTGAATTTCTTTTTTACGAAATCTATGAGCCTATAAGTTTGTGAAATTTGCATAGAAAAAACTGTTAATTAATTGCATTACAAAAGAGAAAGAAGAATATTTGATGCGATGGACAGTCATCTTTCGAACAGAATGAAGCAAAGCGAAGGAATAGAATATTACATCAGATTGCAAGAATCCAGTTTGCAAACATCCAATTTCTGCTCTTTTCATTTGTTTAGTCTTTGTTGTCATACAGGTTGCGTGGTGATAATAGAAGTAATTGTTAATGACTCTGATGCTTTTACCAAATCATTTAACAAATTGACGATCGATAAGAAAGTTAATAAAAAGATGCTCTAAGCATTTTCAGACAACCAACAACTATCACCATAGTTTAATTTAAAATATCACTTTTCATACTTGTTATATCAAGTGAATTAAGTGATCAAGTGTATCAAGTTGATTTGATAGTGAAGGATGCAAGATGCAAAATGCAGGATGAGTGCAGTTGCTCAGATGGATTTCTTGTGAAGAAGAATTTAGAATAGTGTTAGGTTTCTTTTAATACATTTTCTTTATTGGTAAGTAAAGTATTGATGGTATTTTCTAAAGAGCAAAAGAAAATACAATTAGCCTCATTTTTAGGATAAGTATTTGGAAAGTGCAAAAAGCTTTGTAAGGAGGTTCGCATAAAGATGAAGATGGATGAAAAAAGTAACGATGTGTCAAAAAGATAAATGTAGAAAATGTAGAGAAGCTTGTCCTGTTTGACACTCATTTCGAAATAATATAACATAAATTTCCTTCTAAACTACTCGTCAACTGATTTAAAAACTAATTAGTATTTAATGAAAACGATGTGACACATGCTCATTATCCTAGCTCCTTTACCAAATTTCCCTTCTCTGATCATATGTGAACAAGAAAACTTTTAATTTTCACTAACATGCAAAATTATTAAATAAGTATAAGGGATGGCTTTTAATAGCAAATAGTCCATTTTAGTTATGACCACCATCGACGTGGACGGTTTGAGTGAGACATTTCCTATGCGATTGAATAAGGTCAGTCGTTGCAGTATGTTTACACTTTCATCAAGAACTTAATTTTAATTGTCTGTATTGTAGTTGTTTGTTTATGTCTATACATATTCATATTGAGATATTGAAAGCTGAACTTTCACTTGTTTATTGTAGATGTTAAAGAAAAATTTCCTTGTTCAGAACAGTCACAATGATCTCATTAATACGAAAACAATGCCAGCTCAGATTCGATGGTTATTTTTTAAAATAATTTATAAATTAGAAAAAAAAAAAAGGACATATAATTTCTAGTACTCCGATGCACTCAAACTAGCAGAAAGTACAATGAAATTATTGCTGCTTCTATGCGCAAGTTCTAGCTTTGAGACAAGGGAAGGTTGGAAAAATTCGTACGAAAAAAGTGGAGAAAAGGTCTGCTTCAAGAAGTTTCAAATAGGAAAGATATTTACTTTAAAGTACATCTTACAGGCAAATAATGGTACATGTATCGATATTTCTAATCAACGAAACAATTCAAAACTCACTCTATCATCACTTGAAAAAGCAACATAATTATGGAATTCTCGCTTTGCCTATGTGGAAAGAACTGAAATGTTAACTTCCCACTGTGATATTCTGAAGGTTGACTTCACTTTTTGGAAAATAATCGGAAAGTACCTCTCATCGATATTAAAACATTCATAAAAATTTGAGAAATTTCGTGTTTATCTCTTAGAAGAAAAACTAAGCAAAGAAAATTTTAGTATGCAACAGCAGATATCATGTTTATAAAGGATCGCGAATTTTTGGTGTGCCGATTATATCGAAAAGTCGGATCTACAATTTATGTTGTTGCAAAAAGCTTTGAAATCGATGAAATCCCTAAAGTAAAAGATTAAGTACGATAGGTACCCTACAGATAAGTGGTACTTCATTTTGTCAAAGTTGCGGTACTTTTTCACATGAAAGCTTTCCGACTTAAACCTTATAATTAGTGCTGAGATTCTACTCGATGCCAAATGATTCGCTCTGTACCCATCAGATCCACGGAAAACACACATCCGTTATGCAATCTGCGTGAATCCCAAAATCAGTTTAGCACAGCGTCTCATTGATACTTGCATTGCATATATGTTACATCGTGATTCAATGTTTGCTCAAAAAAATGTGCAGAAGTAGCGAGAAAGTAACGGCTGACAGGAAGTCATAAAGACGTGGAAAGTACGTGAAGATTAGAATTCGTCATATGATGCATGAATGGACTCGATTTGAATGTATTGTGAATATGATTGACGGTCACACATTTCAATGACCACTAAAGGATATTTTTGTGACCACAAAAGAAAGAGCTTCCATTTGTCTGATCTAATAATATTATTCAACTTCTATCGTCACTTTAATGCGTGGGTGAGAGAGAAAAGGAGAGATTCTTCTGAAAGTGAACTCATCAAGATGGCGCATCTACTCCAAGCTTGACGAATTTTCCTTTTTTTTATTAATTTAGTCAATGGAATTGAAACATCTATAGTTACACAAGGATGCATTCACAGTTGTGAAATATGGCAGCATTATAATACTAATTTTCCTCAAGATCTATTTATTACCTAGAACATTTTCCTCAGTGATTATGCGTTTTTACTATTCTATAGGCTAAGATTACATTTTGAATCACATGTTCACGTTCATGTGTAACTGCTGTTCAAGCTGAAATAGTTATAAGGGATGCTTTAAAACAAAAATTGGCTATTATTACTATAGATGAAGCAAAGGCAAGCATAGTAATCATTCATTTGGTTAGGTGCTTTTGCTAAGCAAAATCTTTTTGCAATTATTGCTAAACTTTATTTGTGATACACTTTGCTACCATTTACGATAATTCGTTGAACGCAAACTTTCTCTGATGTTGTAATTCCATTCAAACAGAGCTTCATCGGTTGAAATTTGCTTTGCAATGCCATATGTATTTCACGATAACTCTAAAATTCAGAAATGCTTTCGTATTTTTTAAGACATAATTCTCAAAATGAATGATGTTCAATGACATTACGGTTGAGAACTTGCAAAAGTTTCATAAAAAGATTCAAAATTCACAGATTTTTTTGTTTCAACATTCAACATAATGAAATCGAAAAAAAAAAAAAAACGCACCGAAACGATGTTGCTGGGTGCCATATATTTTGAATTTGTTCCCTGCAACAGAATCGAAGCAACATGTGAAACGGTTTCTTTAGCGATTGCTGTTTGCATTTCTGAATCTCCCGAAATTTCTAAATTTTTCGAAATCTCGGAAAGTCTATTGAAACAAATTATTAATTACTTATAAAATAAAAGTTGAAGATTAAAAAGGAAAAAAAAAACAAATAAAAAACGAAACAAGCTATAAAACTGATCACTAACAGAAAAGGTAATGACTTAATAATGACTTAATTAATAAAATTTTCTTAGCCTTTCATATTACCTCCGATATCGTCCTGTTTTGTTATTCGATGAGCAATACGGTTAAAAGACGAATCTGAAATAATCATTTTTATATGGAATATAGATCAAGTCCTATTTTGAATATTCAAGGCCAGTTGGTACCGGCTCAAACGATGTGTGATGTGATTCGGTACCAAAATTTTCTGCTGCAAAAAAAAGTTTTCTGGAAAAGCTTTAGCCAAGAAAGCATCAGCTAATTAACAGTCAAGTGAAAATTTATTGATAATTTGCTATTTGATTATATCATCAATAGCTAAAAAATCATGGGTAACCACTTCTGATCTTGAGACCTTTCTATCTCCTGAGAATGTCCGAACTGCGAAACTGGAAGAATTCTGATAAAGAATTTGTGAACAATGGAGTTAATACTGAATGCTTAACAAGATTTTTATTATCAAGAAGTTATTTCAGCGAGTTTGTTTAACTATAATGTACTTTAAACAAGAATTGATTCAAAAATTCCCACTCATTGTCAAAATTTGAAATCAAAGAAACTCACCAACAAAATGCTGTCCTCTTGTTCGATCTAAGTGTGATACTGGTTGTATTTGTCTAATTTCTGCACTGCCTGATAATTCTCTATCCCTTCCTTCTCTAGCTTTATTAAAATTGATGGTATTGAATATATTTAAATGAAGAGATGAAAGACTGCTTTTGTTAGAAACTTTTGATAGATGAATTGGTTTTGCTTGCTCATAAGATGAACCTTTTTGCTGTCGGATTGGTAAAGTGGCACAAGAAGTTAAAGCATTTGACAACGGTGTTTTTATTGAAAGGAAATCCAGTGGAACTTCTTCAGATTGTTTGGAACGAAAACTTCCTTGAGAGATCTTTGATATTAAATTTTCAGGAACTGGAAAACGGTTAAGTCGTGAAACTTTCGGCAATGATTTGGAAACTGTTTGTTTCCAAATTATTCCTCGAGATATTCGTGGTTCTGTTAAGCTAAATTTATTTGCAGATTTCTCCAATCGTGAAATACATTGAGATAGCTGCGGAGCCGGTTTCATATCATTCACTTCCGGTCTCCAAAAACGTTTGAAACGAGTGATTTTCTGAGATGAATGAAAAGAAATCCATTGCCAAATGTTATATTTGGAGAGCTTTGATGGTAGCATTTGTCGTAATGGTGCAGTTCCTTGTAATGATTCGGTTATCCATACCTGTGCAGAAACAGTCTCCACAAATTGTGGCGTAAAGCGATCAAGGCGTGAAGTCTTCTCGCATGATACGTTCAAAAATGTTCGCTGCCAACCATGTGGTGTCTTAATTTGGGTTGTACTAAGACTAAGTGTTGGAGCGTTATTATTTACCTGATCTTGTTGATGCAAATAATCTCTGCCAAGACGAAGTCGAGAAGTTTCCTTCTGTTGTGAATTTTTTAATGATAACTGCAATTCAGTCTGTTTCAAATGCAGTGATGTTTCAATCTGTGCGTTTTTGATATTTATCGTTGAATCCTTTATTCCAACTTCCTTCATAAAACTTTCCTTCCGTTCCCTCCGCAACATTCTGTCATTTCTTAATGTTATTGGATCCCAAAATAGTGGTTTTAAATATTTGTGATACAATCCACCGCAGTGCGGGAGGCGGCAAGCAACTCTCGATAATGACTGCGGTGATGTTCGCTGCAAATTTTGAAGATTCGATTCATTTGTTCTACCGCATTTCGTGGTAAGTAACCCTGCCTTAGTACTGTTGACGAGACGTTTTTTTTGATATATTTTTGGTGACTGTGATGTCTCTCGATGCCAAAAACGTAATTTTGATCGATGACTCTCTCTGTTTCTCAATGGCACAAAAAAAGATGCAGTATGTGACCTTCCTGAAATTGAATATTGTCGACGAGAGGTCCATAACGACGGTTCCGACCGTTTTATTATTTGCTTTATTTTCATAGCTGACGAAATAGTTAGAGCCATGTATGGTGGTGAGCTGTGTTGAGATCTTTTCGAAGCTGTGTTTAATTTTGAGTACATCGATGTCCGATAATGATAGGATGATGGAGTGTTTCTGGAACTGTTCGTTGTTGATTGCAGCACAAGATATCGCCGTGGAGGTGTTGCAGTAACTATTGGAACAGCAGCGATTGGAAGGTTGGACTTTGAGGTGTGATAGGTTGGCGATGATAAATTACCGGTAGAGGCAAGTGTCGACTTTGTGAAAAAAACATCGTTGTTGTTGATCTGAAGGGATGAAAATTCTTGTACTTCTGAACGAAAGAAAAAGTTACTACTTCGAGTTCACTAATTTTCAATGAACTAAAAACTTCGAAAAATAATTTCAGAGTTTTCGCTTCAGATTATAGCTTCAATCACCAGATAACTAAATTTATAAAACCTCAAGACAGTAGTATGTTTTGCTCCTTAATTGGTAAAGTGATGAACTTATATGCAACATTTTTTTCATTCAGAAGAAAATTCTTCTTCTAAGGTAAATTTAATTTTGGTGGCAAAATCAAAGTCATCCAAAACTGGAACCAAATTACCGAAAAATTATGAGTTGTGCCTTTCAAACCTAAGGTGTCAGTATGTCCAACAATTTTCTCCTCTGAACTACTTTTTACAACATCCATATCCACGTAACGATCTGTAATAAATCGATCGTTGTTTTTTCATATTTGATGAAAATAACGAGAAGAATAAGGTCGGAACTGGAAGAAGTGACCTAACTCTTTTATAGCAGTGACTAGTTAGGTTGTAATTAGTGATTTATTAAATAACTTTTTAAAAATTGTCTAAGAATTCATTAAAAAATTTAGTCTTTATGAATCAAAAAGATTTCGCGATTTCGCTGCACAAATTTCCTTAAAATTATTAACTAAAAAAAAAAGTCAAATATTATTTCATAGGCAAATAAAGTCGGATACTGTAGAGATCAATTTCCTTTACTTATAAGTGCTAATAAGTATATTTATTAATTATGGTGAACATATATTATATAATAAGCAAAATAAATTATTCAAATTTAATCATGCAAAACTATTAATTCCATCAATTAGCATTAGTGATGCAAATGGTTTTCTCATACCAAATCTCCCAATGTTCGTTTTAAATTCAACAGAAAGCAGATTATGTTGTAAAAATCAGCAAAATTGCTAAGTTCTCTTGGAACCATGTAAAGAGCCTGTTCAGCTGTCTTTGTGATAAGGATTCCCATAATTTTTACGAAAAATTTTGAAAACAAGTGAATCAACTCTTATTACTTTTTTGGATTTCTGTTAATTACAATCTTTTGATTAATGACGACTTTCAAAGACGGAATTTGAAAATTTCTTTAATGTTAGAGGTAGTTTTAAAGAAAGTCAACCATTATGTTTTGCAGTGTCTCTGACCGCACATACGGAAACCGTTGTTGTCTTCTCCGAGGTTGTTCTCCAATCTTAAAGAATTTTGACCATTTTTTTTGTTGATACAAAACAATATCGCCAAAACTTTTTATGATATCCACTTATCTCCCATATACATAATTTTACAACCTTTCATAAACACATTTTAAGTTGAAATTTTAGATATTGGACTTCTTATTTGTTTATATTTTGCTTTGGACTTCAAAAAATCTACAAACGGAAGTATTCAAATTCCTTTCTTCTTAAAATTTTACAAATTGAAGCGAATTGTATATTTTGAAATTTATTATTCAGGTTATGAATGGAAAAATGACTTATGAAACGTGAAGAGTTGGGATGGATGTCTCCTTCAAGCACATTAAACTTGAAAGATCATGAAAATATTAACACAAGATTTGGAGAGCTGAATAGATATGAATTACCAAATTCATTTTTTGAAATCTTGAACTTCATAACATTGGCCATATCACATGATGAAATGAATATGAAACTATGTAAGCCAAAGCCTACCCGTTTCATTTATCTGTTTCACTGTTTTCAAAATCTTTTTGCTTGGTACACTACTTCACATTTTAACTCAACAGCAGTTTCTGAGGGATCAGCCGGGAGTGCTCTTTCTGTTTCCTTATTACACTCCAGATTCTCGTGATCAGTTATCACTTCTGTTACTAATTAAGCATTACTAAGCTTTATTTCAAATGTCGCTGGTATCAAAGTAACTATTTAAATTCATTCATGGTTTAAAGGTCAAATCCATTTTAGCAAGGTAAAAAGCAAATTAGTAATTATCCAACACCGATTTATATTATGTCTGTGAATAATTCGTACCCATCAAACAAAATTTATCCTCTACAGCAGACGTCATCAGTTTCTAATATTCTAATCTCTAATATTCGTTCATTTGGATTCGAATCAGTCCATCAAATTAAACAACAATTGAATTTCAATTAAAAAACAAAAAACAGTTTAATTCTAAAGTCTTATAATATCATCAACTTTATTTCTCGAAAGTAGCGTTTCACTTGGTGCAAAAAATGTACTGACTTAGTAAAGATGAATAAAAATTTGACACCTTTAAAATTATTACTTTGTATTGAATTCGTCGTCAGTTTCGCTGTACGTAACAATTTCATTTTTGGTTCTGTCTTATATTTTGTCGCTTGCAAACCTTAAATTTTTAGGAAATGTTAATCACTTGACTGTTCTATTCAGAAATGTTAATCACTTGACTGTGTCATAATACCAACCACAACAGTCGAGATTAAGTTAAACAAGTAATTCACGAAGCCTTAATTCGAGAATAGAGTTATAAATTTTAAATCTCAAATCATTTATATCCTGAAATTAATCTCGAGCTGAGTTTATCAGGAAAGTGGTGACATTGAATTAAGACCCTAAGAATTATAATGGTTTCTCTTTACAACTATTTTAGGAAAATTTTAATTTGATCGACTCAAGAATGACTTATTACGTGGCGACTTTTTGCTTGAAAATGAAATGTATTAAAAGTTTGTTTAAATCTTGAAATTTTGGCTTTTTCCTTTACTAGACATTCCAGCCAAATCTCAAAATTGATAAAATCTTTAACATGCACAAGGCATGATAACTTTTCATGATTTTAATATGAATAATCAGAGCTTGAATTTTAGTTGAAAATATTTATTTCATAAAGTTAAGGCTGTTATTAGTAACTGTTGTAGGATATTTACCTTCGCTTCTCTCAGTTGATATTGAACACGACAATAAATTTTTCCGTTTAGGTGAAGCTATAATTTCTGCTCATTTTATTTGTGACCATTTACGCTTGAAGTAATTTAAATTATGAACTTATTGTCAAAGTAACAAAATTATTATACTGCAAATAACTAATCTGTAAACATCTAATATTCTACTTTAATACTACAGAAATATCAGAAATTCTGATATTATTTGGTTAATATAACTATAATTATGTCTGGAAGTGCTATTTGCAGTGAAATATTATAGAGACATGTTATTGTCATATTTGCATTTTTGTATGGAAACAAAATTTACATACAAACACCAAACTAAATGAAAATACTGTCTTTCGCATTATAATTTTATAATAATAATATTCTAAATTATAACGATGTGCTAAGTATTTTAAAAATTATAGTATTAACAATTAACTGAGATTTATGAAGTATTAAACATCAAGACGAAATATTAATTGGTCGCTAAGAAGAAGTGATCTTGTTTACTGTTATTGTAATAAGTTTTAAAATATCAAATGTAACCTAAACGGTAACTTTTTCGCTTTTTTTTATTTTTATTTTTTACAAAAAAATAATTCAATTTGCAAAATCAATACTTAAGTTCAAAATTACAAATCCAAAGAGCTAGCAGGAGAAATCTATTCATACTTTTGAATGATGTTATTGCAGTATTAGCACGAGCTGATCTGACAATTGATGCTTTTTGAGTTGTCATCCATTTTACTGTTTCCATTTCAACTTCTGACCCATCCGTTAATGATGATCCTGTTTGAGATTCGTCTATTATCAAACAACTACATTCATCATTTTCCGTACATTTTCTAAAGTTTTCATTGCATTTCTTGCTATGTTGTATTGAGTTCGATCGTATTGAAAAATCACATTTCTGGAATTGATAAGAAGAGGAAAGAGCAGAGTATTTGCAGAGATCGGATATAGAAGTAGAAATTGAAGTGTTCGATACACTGTAAGCTGTTTGACTCCAGATATCTAAATTATCATCACCAAGCAAATTAATATTTTCATGATTTAAGGCTATGCTAGAATCGGAATTCAGGAAACCACAATGATAGCACTGCCATTCGTGTTGCATTGGATTCCTCGAATATGAAAGCTTAGGCCTTTGATCAATATGGAAATATTGAATTTCTCGCACTGTCGTACCACCGCAATCATTGCAATGAAAAACGTAAAGCTTTTCGGGTTTCCAAGATGCAGTTCCCAGCATCAGTTCCACAAAATTTGGACATTCGCAACAACACTGATTTCCAGTACAAGAACATAAAGCTGAAAAATCACCGTGAGACACTTTGCATCGCTAGCATCATTCATCTTCATACTCCATTGATTTATTTCAGAGGTTTGACACATCTCTCAGTTTCATTTACTCTTTTACTTTTTCAACTAAACAATGAAGTGAGCCAACCATTACATAAGAGATTTTTTAAATGATTTTCAAGCAAGTTTCTGAACAAGAATTTCAAACTAAACTCTTTTCCAAACTTGGAAATAACAAAGTTGGAAAGAACGGTCTGCACATATTCGTAAATATAAATTTAAATAGAGCAAATTCATTTAGAGAATTGAACGCACAAAATGTGAGAGTTCTTAATTATTTGCTAAGGAATTCTATTCTCAGATTAATGCGAGAATACCATCGTATGTTCTGTCTATAGCAATTAACTGTGTTCTAGGAATGAACGTCTTCAGTTTATTACGTGTCCACTGATTCATTTCTACAGCGGTGGTTACGTTCGAATGATCTGTATCGTTAATTAAAAATAAAAGTGTCACATTTCAGATCATTAAAATCAATTTGAATTTCTAAGCATTCGGTTCTTGGAAGAATTGTTTTTTCTTGACATTTGTCATTTGTCAATTTTAGAACATTTTGAAGGGCTTCAAGCTCTATCAACTTCACAATGCACATACAAAGGAAGATGAGAGGTCAACGTTGGGTGACCTTTGTATAAGTGCTATTAGATTTTGTTGCTTGCTGCCCACCATATACAATCCAGGGTATCTTCCGCTCTCTCAGTCAGTTCTGTCTTAGAAGAAGCAAGGTGCTATGTTTTAGCATTACGATTTTACATTGATACTTAGGCGTCATACTTAATTTGATGCTTAGATTTCACATGACCACTCAACTTATGGGTCATCTGTCAGTGAAGTGACGCAAGGATATGTTTAAGTATCCAGAATAAATCATCATTCTTGTCTGTTGTTGTCAATTCGAACTACCTAATAGCGCCAGCTGGCATCAAATTTTTTTTTAAAACGTGTTTGGAACTTGTAAAAGTATGTCTTACTTTAGCAGATTTTTTCTAAGCCAACTTTTTTATCCGTGCGCAAAGACTTTTTTCAAAATTTGTAAAATTTAGAAGCCTACATAAACGAGCCATGCTCACGTCCTCATTGTTTTCTTTCTTATTTCCATCATCGAAACTCTTCACGTCCAGATCTTCTCGTTTCTGGAAGGAAAAATACATGCAATTTGTGTCCTAAACTTTTTGTTTTGTTTCGGCACGTGTTATACGCAGATTTAATATGGCAAAACCTCATTCATACGAACGAACTCTTCTGATCAAACTTATGATAAGACGTAATTAGACCAAATATAAGACTATAATTTTTCTTTGCTAGACCAAATCACCGGTTTTTTTTTTTTTTCAGATATAAAAAGAATCTGTGCATCGTTGTTTATGAACTGTATGTAATATCTCATGAGCGTGGGATGTAAGATTGGAAATGCAGGTATATATTTCCTTATATAAACAACAAAACCTGTGTTTTTAATTCTGTTATGGATATTGAGTCATTAGAGAGTTCTCGAGCTGCATTAACAAGTCCATCCTGGCGTTCGACTTCAATTCGCGTCCGCAAGATTGGATACTCAAATTCACTACTTTTTTTAATTGAAGACATCAAGCCGATTTAATGTGATTACTAGACCAGTTTTATAATTACTAGAACAAATTCTTTGATTCAAGACAACTGCCTTTGACAACCAGGACCCAGAAGACTGCAACAAAAGGAATATAAAACGTCACTGAATTCATCCGGCATTTAGCAGTTCTTTTATTGTTGAATAAGAATTTACATACTGCTAATTTGTTTTTTTTCCAAGAATACAGTTAAAATATAGCAAATGGACTGAGTCCATATGTACCGTCAATTCGAAATGTATAATATATACTATTCGAATTTAACGAAGTATTGCCACCATTAAGTCACCGTCATGCGCAGAGACATACAAATTTTCAAATCCGAAACCTATTCCAACCTGAAATCACACAGTCCTTCGTTATATCTATTTCACACGATAACCACAATGTTTGAGGGCCATGTTTGCTCGATTTTAGTTATATCAAAAGACTTCAACTTCCTTAAATATAATACAAACCTATAAACGCTCCAAAGACAGGACAGCGGATCCAATACTTCTTTGATTTTACTTTAAATATTATACGGACGTCCGTAAATTCAGAAATGAAAAAAGAGCTGTTTTGCTTTATATGCACAATTATATATATACACAGTTCCGAGATCTACAGTTCATACTAATAAATAGTATTACCCAACCAAAATATAAAAAATACCATTTCAATTAAAATAAATCCCCTCCATAAGTAATAATCTATTGTTCAATAAAGATTCATTCAGAACATCTGGCCTACTCCTCTAAGATGCATTACAACGACGCAATTATTCTAAACAGTACAACTATCCTAAAATTCTAAAAAACATAAAAATCCAAACTTGAAAGAAATTTCAAAAACAATTCAGGATTTCTTCAGCATTAGTTGATCAAGACTGCTAAATTTACGAAAACAAGTGATAAATCACAAAGTGTTATCTTAGCAAAAAAAAGAAAGAAAAAACATTTTTTAAAATTATGAAATCAACGATGGCGATTTGAAACGCAATATGAAAGCACTAAAAACGGTAGTTAAAAGTACGACTCAACAAACTGCCAACAAATATCGCAGTTGAGTCATGGCTGAGAGTAAGGTTACAAAGAAGAGAAGGATAAGTAAAGGCCAAAAGAAATAACTTTTAAATACAAGTTCATTTTTTCCAAGGATCTCAGTTGAAATATTACACCATATATCTAAAGCAAAAACAAGAGGAAAAATTAGTCAACACTGAATTATAAGGCAAAATCTATGTTTGAGGTTGATTTTGTCACAATTTTTTTTTAAATTATGATCAGCTTTGTTATACGGAGTGCAACTATACTCCAACTGTTGAAGTAACTTCAGTGAAACTAACAGATCTATTACATTACATAATTTAAAATGTCATATTACAATTATAAACAAATGTCCGAAAATACATATTCGTTCCGAAACCAAGCTATTCTCACATCTTAACTTATATAAACCCTTTACATATAAACTTTTTCCCAATTTAAAATTAAATATGAACTTTTCTCAATACAAAAATAGATTTTCAAAGTACTGATTTTATTTCCAATATAGCGAAGAGCCAATTGTTCCTTTACACTTTCCTAATCAATTATCAATTATTGAAAAAATTATAGTTCATCAGTTCCACACATCTTACAGCAAGGAAACTTCATGCCCTTAAAGCAGTGAACTGACGGTAAACTTCCACAATTCTTGGATCGATTCCTGCTTTTACAAACAATTCGTTATCAATGTGCTGTTTCATCTCGAACAATTCGCACCAGTACTAAAACTAATTTCAATTTCGTGCCACTGACCATATAGGACTATTTTCATGAAAAAACTGGTTATTAAAAAAAAAAGTTGTTAATAAATCCTTTCGAATTGTGACTTAAACATGAAAATAACTTTTTTGTTCACAAAATAATTTAGTAAAATTACACCAAAAGGACAGAGCACAAACTATCAGTAAATGAGAATTTTGTTAATAATTAACAATATTAATTTGATGATATGAAGAAAATACAAAAATTTGGATTTCAAATGGGTAAAAAAGCAGTCGTATCCATAAAATTTGAAAAACTAAGGAACTCGAACCCTCAATAACATCTCTTTAAATCGTCCCATCATATACCGATACCAATAAGTGTCGTGGTTTTTTTCAGTCATTTCAGATTTTATAAGATGTTCCGAGAGGAACAGTACCAATTTCTAAAATAAAAATTGCGTTCATAAGGCTGGAAGATCATAGGGAGAAAACAACAAAAAAAAAAAAAAAAAAAAATAAAATAAATGTATGGACGTCAAGTAGATCCTTACAAAACAACATCTGCAGTTCTATCCACATTTTACAATCTTAAATTTCCATTGTAACTTCCAGTGAAATTTCTACAGAAAATTAAATTAATGAACTACATCAAGTTAGACATAAACTTACATGCAAAATATTTAGAAACAGGTTTTTCAACATATCCTGTAATTCCTTTAATTCTTTCTTTTTCATTTCAATATCATCATCAAGAATCATCCCCAAACCATCGTCTTTATTAGAACAGAAAACCTGACATATCTGTACGAAAAGCTTAGTGAAAAATAACCATTTATGAAAAAATAAAGAAGCAAAAAATGAAAATTTTGGAATTTGTATAAAACTCTGAGAACATTAATCATGCACAATATTTTAATATTTGTGAATTTAATTTAAAAATGTCAATCATAATTCAGTAATCTTGAAAAAAAAAAAGAAATTAATCTGAATTATATAATAGCTCCCTGATCAATATCAGTAATTATTTAGCATTGAACGCTCTTGTAGTTTGAGAAGTAATTTCTGAAGCTACTATTGATGCAAAAAATACAATGAAAAAAGGGAGATTACAATGAAACGTCATATTATCTTAAATATACATTATTGGAATTTCAAAGAGATCAACTAGTATTTTAAAATGAATTTAAGGAAAATACGAATATCCTTTCATTTCTTTTAAAGGTCTTTAGAATAATATCTACACAATCATGAAATTAAACAAATTACATTTCCACTACTTCGTTCCATTTTGATACGCTTCTCTTGCATTTGTTGAAGTTTGGTCTTACATCGATACATATGACCGCATACATGCTTTACAATTATAAACAATGCTTCCCAAAGCCAGAAGCTAAAAAATAAAGTGATTAGAATAAATAACATATTAAAAATTGCAAAATCTGCATCGAATTAATAAATTTCAAGAAAACAGAAAACTGATATTAAGCAGTCCATAAAAAAACCGATGTAATTCCTGGTCGACATAACTACTCAACAACCAGGACACTACAGCATTCGCATTTAATAATGTCATTCGAAACATTTTGGTAATCAACACAACCATCATCTGCAATAATTTTATAGCAATATATTGAAAGAGCAAAAACTAGATGTCTCTAGCAAATGAAAAGCAAAGGCTTGACAAAATAATGAAGCTTTTCTATAAAATAAAAACCATGAAACAAATTAGTCTGTAGAACCAGAAAGCCTTTTGATGGTTGCTTTCATTTAAAAGTAAACAAAAGCCCTCAAATGGCACCCACCTGTCGATTATGCTTCCAGACATCGTAAAGTGTCCGCAAAAGTGCCGTAGAGGACTCATCATCAACACCACTCAGTTCTTTCAATGTTTCGTGGTACCTATATTCAAAATACATAACTGATCTAAATTTTAATCCACTCAAATTAACAAGAATGAAAAAAGAAGTGAACTGTTCCTGAAGTTTGAAGATATTCATGAGAATGAAGGAAAATGAAACCTTGTCAAAGCTACGAAATTGTGACTAAATGACTTCTGCGCTGCATTAAGCATAACTGAAAAGAAAGTAGAAAGAGTTGCTAAACTGTTGCCTTCCTTGTCAAATTCGCGTAACATTTCAGTTATCTCCTTTGGCTCAGCTTTGTTACGAAATGCTCTTTCAATTTCAGCAACCAATTCTTTTTCTTCTATGAAAGATAAATCATAATAGTTATAAGTCCTGTACACATGAAGCTTTTTAATTTAATCAAACAGCAAGAAACGAATATCAGTAGCAGCCAGAAAGAATAATACAGTAGATTGACGATTCTTATCTTCACATCTTAAGTCTTATTCTGCTTTAGTGCAGCATATAATTGAGAGAGTAGGATAAAATGTCTATCTCTGAACATTTTTGAACTGCATAGTTACCTCAAAGAAAAAGAGTGGTTTTCAGCTTAAAAAAAAAATGAATATTAAAAAGAAATAGCATTAATTAAAATACATACCTTGGTTAACTAAAAACGATATAAAAGGCTTTTCCGGTGTTATTTCTTCAAATGAACTTGGCAAGCAATCACAGATTCTTTCATGATATGAAAATCTCATGCATTTTTCGATAACCTTAATTTCGAAAAGAAGTAATTAATTACTTCCCAATAGTTTTTATTCTTTTTTACTTTGAAGGAATATAAGCATTTAAATTGATACTGAGAACTCGCTAACTTCCTTCACAAAATATCGCCTTGGCGCATAGTCATTCAAATCGAGACAATCGTTCCAGTCGACCCAAGACCAACGATATTCAAAATTGGACATATGGTAACTGAACCAATCAATCAATCTAAAATTTAAAGCACTTCATGTTAACAGAACCTAATTCATAAAACATAGCACACTATTTACAATACATAATATTTTTGCTTTATATGGAAGATACGAATTTTCCGTCCTGTAAATTGTTTGGAAGTGCTGTGCAACAACCAGAATCGTGAAAAAGACTATGATAAGGTTACACATTAACAATTTAACCTGTCAATACACTCAAGTTGCATTGTATCTATTCGTTGGTAGAACAGCTCTGCTGCTTGAGCGATTACCTAGAAATGTGCAAGTTTCAGTAAAACGACCAAGTTTGGATTTAATGAACAAACCATAATTCTTCACTAAATTTTAATATGAAGAAATCACTGAAAAAAGAGAAGAAACCTGCCTGAGGCATATCCTTTGTCTTACACAATTCAATCATTAAACTTCCATAAAATAGAGGTCGCAATGGCGGATGTGGTAGGCGGAAGAGTTGCGAAAAGATTACTTCCAAGATCATGTAGTTTATTGGTATCACTGCTTTTTTCCGATAATTGACAAGCTTTGCTGCACTAAAATTCTAAAAATTCGTCAGTTTGCTAAACTTTGAAAATTTTCAATAAACATGGGATAAAAATAATAATGTAAATTAGAGACCAAAACATTACCATTCTTTTCTACTATAACAGTTATTCTCGATTATCGAACACAATTCCTTCTCAACCAAAAAACGTTCAATTGAATGAGCTCCAGGAAGCACTGGTCCCTACAAATGATTATTTTAAAAATAACAAAATAATGGATGATGAAAAGATAAAGGTAAAAGGAAAGATAAAAAAAAAACTGGTGATTACTTCATCAGGACAATCGGCGTAATCGAAAAAGCGAAACACAACAGTAGGCAGCGGATACACTACCACTGACGTATGCGGAGATGGAATAAATCTACAAAATAATATAAAAAATAAATTAATACATCGATACAAAGAATTCCTTCCAGAAAAACTATATTCAAAAGAGATTTTCAACATGACCATAGCCATAATAGTACTTTTGATGGAAATTCTTTGCAGATTATTCCCAAATATCACTCCTGCATGTTTAACAATATTGCTAAAAATTTCGTTTTATTCTGAAATCTTCTCAACTAAAAATGTATGTATATATATTATAGCTTTATAAAAACTTTATTAATTTCATAACTATATATATATATAATGCTAACACTAATTTTGTTAGTTTAGACATATTAATGGATTTTTTAATGTTCCTTTAAGTTCAACTTCTTTTTGAAGGTCTTATTGTTGTTTGCTTCTCCTAAGTTTGTTGATTTTTTATTTTTCCTTTTTTTTATTGTTGGTTATATGTATAGCTAGCTAAATTAACAAGAATTAATAATAACTCTTACAAAGGTAAATTATGTGCAACCGCACTGGCCAGAGAACCATCAAATCCAACATAATATCGTGAAATATGTCGCTCTATCCAACCATTATCCCGTAGCTTGGAAATCTGAGTCCAAAGACTACACAAATATTCGTCCTGTTCATGTTCCATTGCTGACCAAACTTGAAGCAACTAAAAAAACAATTTCTGACAGTAAGAAAGGGAAATCAACAATAAATAAAAGAATAAAGACGGTGGAAATAGTTAAAGAGAAGTTGTGGAAACGAATAGTGGTATCTACACTTAATTATAACTACATAAAGTAATTGTATACTATGTAATTTCAAAATCAATAATTTTGTCTGTGTTTCACTCAGTGCTTAGCGTTCGTATAGTAAAAACCCATTCTTATTCCAACATCTTCCTATACCCCAAAAGTTTATATAAAATTTTAAAAAAATATGTTCACATTACGCTTTAACAATATCATATGCGCTAGGCAGTTCCTGAAAAAAAAGTTATCACAGGTTTACCTTAGCATGAGATGTGCTCCTTTCAAGCATGTATTTCTCAATGCCTTCTAAGAGATTATCAAGCGGTTCCTTCTCTCTATCATTTAGTTCAGGTCCTGACCAGGGAAGACTATGCAATACCGCATAAACAAACCAATCACTTCGAACCTGGGAAGATCAAACTCTTCAAAACGTGAGAAACTCGACTTCCTTTCTGTTTAAGTAAAAACTAAATCGATAAATCAGCAAGTAGTTACTAAGTTTTTTTTATTTCGCCTTCAAAATCTAGATGCAGTACGAATCCAGTATATATGCTCCATATCACAAATCATACTTGCGGGATGCCTTCTTCACATGCTGCTTCCATAAAGCCTTCATAAAACTCGACTAAAGAATTAGACGAAACAACGTGACAATTGACCAAGTCAGCTAGAAATGTGACCTGAAGAAATCGAAAATTAATGAACGGAAACCATTCATGAAAAAAAAAAATATACAACTAAGGTTTCGAAAACCATAAAACTTACAATATGCAAGGCATGATTGAAATCAGCAGATACAAGCTTCTCTCGCAAAACTTCCAATGATTGCCTCAAAAGCTGAAAATTTTCGTGAAATAAATGCTATCATAGTAACTAAGTTATACTATGCTTAAATATATTATTTTGTTCCTCTTAATATAAAAAAAAGCTTGTGATACCTCAAAACCAAATTTCTGTTTTTTTGAGTTTAACAAGCCCGCAAGAGTTGAATATGCAGTAATTTCTTCTCGCAAGTAACATACGCTGCAAAAAAAAATTTTTTTTTCCTGCTAGTAATTAACACTACTTTCAATTTCTTAATTTTATCTACATAGAAAATATTGAAATGTCAAGGTATTACCATTCTATGATAATATCAATAATGCGATCTGCATCAGTGATGAGATAAGTTCCTAGTGATTGTGCTAATCTCTCCAAATTGGATTCCATAGATGAGTTACTCTAAATTAAAAATTAAAGTTAAATAATACTGCCCACTTCAAATGCGACAAAATCGAAATGCGGTGGAACTATGTCATCAAGCCTTTCCCAATTTTATTTATGAAAACAATAAAGCTATGTTTTGAATTATCAGCCACACAGAGATCAGTATGAGAAATCGACCTTACCTTCTCAGCAATTCCGCTGATGAGTAGTTCTAAATGCATTTCCAATTCTGTCCTTTCAGGGACAGCTCGCCGTCTCTTATAACACCAATCGCTCCCTAAAAATCTTATCAGATAAAAACTGAAACTTAAGGGCTATATATTATCAATCTAATCATAAAATGGATATCAAAATATCCAACAGTTAATCATTGTAAATCTTTGGAAGCACTAAGCAAATTTTATTTCATTATAATTTATACCTTCATCACCGGGACGCCTCCTTCGATCATGATCACTGTGTGGCAAGTGAATCATTTTTAGGTGCTATAACAATCACTGCCAAAGAATCAGCAAAGCATTCTTTATTCTTTACAAAAGTTAATTGCTAATAGAAAAGACACAAAGAAAACGGTATAAATGATTTGTGAAAACAAAAATGTTTTTAGGTGGATGTTTTCTTAATTAAAACTTTAACCCTAACTTTAACTGACAGCATATTGTGACACATCAATCGCAAAGGCGAGTACTTTTAACCTTAAGAGAGGAACGCCATTTTTTTATAAACTTTGAAAAAAATATATGAACAGATTTCTCAAAATGCTAATAACTAATGACTTATCTGGTCGCTGTACCAGTCATTGAGAAAATACTTATTGTCGAGATGGTGTTTACTTAGTGCCAAAAAAGATGATTAAAATAGGAGAATCATTTTATGACAGTGCAGAATGTGTACAGCTTGCATTAACTGCAATACAGTTTTCCAATTAAGCAAGGTAATAAGAAACAATAAACTAGTAAAAATATATGAACTAGACCGAATCAAAATTTTATTTGAAAAATATGGAAAAGAATGATGGGATTTTTTGCTGTAGAATTCGTATTAATTAATGCATTGGTATCTATAGTGCAAGAAGTAATCATAAAATTCCTTTGAAATTACTAAAATAATTCAAAAAGATTATTCAACATAGCATATTAAACATAAATGATTGATGATTTCCTATTAGTTAATAAAGTATTACTGCAATAGGTAACATAAACCTTCACATCGTCAGAAAACGACTAAAGAGTCACAAAACAGCTAAATACAATTCATTGAAATACCGAGAAATATCTTCAAAAAGCAACATTGTGATTTAGAGTTTAGTAAAATCCTTTACACCAAGCTTCCGTAATTTTTGGTATGCCTAAAATGATAAGGTAGTAGATAAGTAATACATTTTAGAGTCAATAAGTAAAATAAAAACTTTTTCAAAATGAAAATTTTTACCTTATCATGAGTATCACCATCATCCATGGTAATAACTGGCATTTTGAATGCAGCTTTATAAAGTTCAAAAGCTTCTTCTTTTTGACCAAGTCTGGTTTTTACTTCTGCCAAGTACCACAAATTTGAAGAATCGAAATTCGGCTGAAATTAATATCCATGAGATATGTGTTATTATCAAAATTATCAAAATTGTCACATAAGAAAGGGATTATAAAATCATAAGAAAAAAGTTTTTCTCATAAGTTAATTTTAAAATACAAAAAGTTCCAGTGTTACCTTGATAAACTCAGCTTTTTGGAAGCACCTCAAAGCATCTTCGTATGTCGCCAATGGAACCGATCCAAACAGTGCCTTTACTATTGAAGCTTTCCATGATGGCAAATCTGCATATGTAAAATACCACACGCCTAAATTAATAAAGCTTCAAGGCTTAAAAAGGAAAAAGAATAACTCAACAGGAAGAATACTTCAACAACAAAATATAGTCTACGTTCATAAGCAACGTATATAATAAATACGAACCAAGTGCATGCCAAGTAGTCGCATCAGTAGAATTTAAATCAAGTGCTTTTTCTAGGTGTTTGCGGATTTCGAAAGACTGTCGAACTTGTTCTCTGGTACCTTCATGTTCTGATACATAACTTAGCACAATAGCATACCTAAACAAAGCTTACCAAAAAAAGACGTATATTGTGGGAAATCTTTCATTTTCATGATCCCTCCTGTTATACCAATCATTGTATGTCAGAATACTAAAAAAAAAAAAAAAAATGAATAAAAACTTAAGCACCTCACACTATATAAAAATTAACAGACGTACTCATAAGGAATCCTTTTTCCCCTAACTAAACCTTGTATAATCAAAACCTTTAATCTTCTCTTCCTTCTTTTATTTCATTCAGTACTTCTGTTTCATGCAGAACTTATTCTTGCCAATATTCAAATGCAATAAATTTTTCACTATTCAGAAAGTTCACCAAGGAGTTAAAAAGAACTATCATCTGCTCAAATTGGAAACAGTTGGAGAAATACTGTCAACCGGTAACCAATACAGCTATCAGAACTTGAACCCTCTTGCTTACAATTATTTCAGTATTTATGACTTGTGCAATTTGAAATAATTATGAACATATTATTGTTCATCTTGAACAACAATATCAATAACTTACCATTTATGAGCTTCCCAACAAGACCCTTCACCTTCATTATCAAGTGCTTTCTCAGCCATTTTCAGGGCATCATACATGAAGCGTTTTCTATCATCTTTGTCCTAAAAGATTTCTGAAGATGGAAAAATAAAAAAAAAAATCTCATTTATTATGCAATAATTATGAACGATAGAAAGCTGGTTACTGACCCTAAAGAACCTTGAAGCCTTGCCAAGACAAAACTTAAAAGGTAACCTTAGACATTTTCGCCTTTTCGCATAATACACGAGCCAATCGCCAAAGCATTTGTGGATCATTACCTGATGAAAATCTTAAAAAAGTTATACCAGACTGCACAAACAACAATTCTATTTCAGCAAAAAGTGACGAGAAATCATATTTTCAATGACAGACCTCCTTAAGACGTTGTATGCATTTTCGATCAAATAAACGCTGTACAGTGTATCAGCTTCTTGCTTGAAACGCTCTATTTTTGCTGTTTCCTCAGAGACATTGTTTTCTGACTTCTTGCTCAGAAATGGTACTAATGCAAAACCTGGACGGTATAAAGATGAGTGGATGGAAACTTGAATAAATTGAAAGATCGGGTTTTCAAAACAACATTATAGTACTGATAAACACTAAACTAGTTAACCATCTATTGCTAGTGATAAATAATGCAACAAAATCACCTGTTGTCCCGGTAGCTGTAGCTAATACCAAAACTCGTCGTACTTTTTTATACGTATCGAATTTTCGTATCATGGTATTTCGTATACCCTGAAATAAGTAAAAATTTCCTGTCACTAAGTGAAGATGTCATTTATACAAATTTCAGAATTAACAAATGAAAACCGACCTTGGTCACCTGCATCCTACCACCAGCTAGCGGGAAAAGTCGTGACGGTCGTATTAACATTCTAGTCAACATGTGGCTAGAAATGAAGCTTTTTACATAATAACTGCAATATAAGAACTAGAGAATTTTGACGAATCAGATTAGCTCAGATCAATCCAAGATAAGTAAGTAATCATCAGTTGGTCTGGAAGTGACTTTCGAGATCCAAGATGAGTCACGGGAAATGCACTTTAACAACTGTAAAGTTGCCTATCTCACCCACAGCTGAAGCCAAAGGAGTCGGAATATAGCACGGCCCAATATCGTCCCACAGCCTTCCCATGTCTCAGGGTTGTGAGACGGATATGTTTGGGATGCAGGGTATCCTTCGTCGTGAACTTTCAACTCTGTTGTTTTGTTTTCATTTGAAACTAAAGTAAACTATAACGTAAGGCACTCGTTACATGCATACGTTGTTTTTATTATAAGAAGTGGTAACTTATTATGTATGGTAGATTCAACAATCAAGAATACGTAAAACGTTGGAAATGCAACATCTGTGCAACTTAAAATAGATTGTCATTCTTGCAGGAAAGTTCAAAATCTTTGAAATCTTCTTCTCTGTTTGAAAACATGTTGCGAATAATTTGTCACAGAAAATGAATGCTGTTCAGAGCTGCAATAATTTGAAAGATTGTGCAAAAAATGCATACAGCGTCACTCATAAAAGGTGTGGTCCGTCTTAAGCGAAGTTGCTCTTCATTGCAAATCTTAAGGCATGCATTTGTGATAGCATGTATCAAAGAGTGTAAAGTTTACTTCATAACAGCTTTACAGCAATACAATTGATATTCTTGATCACCGTGTCAATAATGATTAATTATCACTGATAGGCATGCTTATTCTATATAAACCATTTATGAAAATTAAGTTCTTTTCCAATAGTCAAGTCTTAACTAGTCTATAGAAGTTAGTGTATAAGTGACATAACTGATCGGGACTCCTCCCCACATATCTCTGCAAAAGAAGAACAAAAGTTCCGATGGCCATCAAGCAGCGATATTTTGCACGACAGATGACGACTGTAGATGTATGCATCTCGATTATATCAAAAGGGCATAAATGTGTCATAACATATAGCTGTAGGCTTCAAGTTTTATCATTTCAGTAATGATGAAAGTCCCCAATTACTAAATTCATTTTGAATAAATGTAATATACGTAGGCAGTTTTTGTATCTTGAAGAATACTGTACTATGGCATGAAATCAGAATACAAAAATGTAGAGAAATAGTAAGATTAATGCAATGTTCAAAGCTATCAATATGAACGTTGTCCGTACATTCCGTTGTGACACGATTTGTTGCAACAAATGAGACACTGGAAATAAACGTGTTTTTGAGTATTTTTTTGAAACACTAGAAATAAGTGAACTGTGGAAGAATTGAAAGAAGATAAAGAAAAAGAAATGTTTTAGAAAGATAAGCAGTTTGGAAATGTACTCATGTGTCTATCATCCTTCGTTCCCTTGTTGTGAACAAAAAACTCACCGTAATGTATAAGCCCAAGATTGCGCAACGTGAAATCTTCATTAGATCTATCTTTCAAATCCTGTGCCACTGAACGTGTTAGAGCTGTAGACCACAGACTGGAAACACTTTGTTCATTTTCAATTTTGTCTCCCACAAATCGTCGTCCATCTTCATGGTAAATAATTTGTCGTTTCTAGAATCATTTAATTTTTCAACAGCATTATCATTAAATGTTCGGTTAAGGATGAAGTGATTTGGAAAAAATTTTATTTCTAAACATAAAAAAAGATGTACTTTCAGGGCGTTATCGAAGTCTTATCTATAGAAAGAGATAGATCATTGATTTGAAGGGACAACACTCCAAAAATGCCCTAGGATTTCATAACAATACACAATTGGAGACATTAGAAGTTCTGAGTGCAATTCTGTAGCACTAATCAGATTCTCAATGCTAAAAAAAATATCATCAGTCCAAGCAGTTTGATGCAAATTTCTTTCTCATGTTGCATATTTCAAAAAACTCTATTC